AAAGTTATTGTTAATATTTAAAATTTTAATAATTGTATTTTCATTTAATATTTATTTAGAGAAAATAATTATTGTTAATTTAATATGAACAAATATTTTTTAATAAATTAATTTTATTAAACATTTGTAGTAATTTTAATAATTGTTATTTTTTTCATTATTTTTAAATGAAATTTTGATTTAATTTAAATAAATAAATAAAATTACAAAGCTAACATTTTTAGTAATTTCACTAATGATTAACAATTATGTAGGAATGGCAATGGGGTGGGTTCGGGGCGCAGCACTCCACCCCTATCCCTGCCCTGTAGTCAATACACTCTACCCCATCCCTGCCCCGTCCCCAATGTTAGGTGGGTTCAAGGCAAGGCACCCGCTCCTTGTTAGGGACGGGGAATCCTCGAATTACCCTGCCTCATTCTCAGAGTCAGGCGAGTTCAAGGCAAGGCACCCACTTCTCATCAAGGATGGGGAATCCTTGAATTTTCTCCACCCCATCCCTAGTGTCAGGCGGGTTCAAGGCAAGGCACCCACTCCCCGTCAACCCAATATTCAATATGATGACAAAAATGATAAAAAAGATATACTGAGTATCAACCATACCACATGGTAAATTTCTAAAAGTACACTAAATTGTCTTTAATTTTCAAAAATATAATTTTATAAAAATTTTAGAAAATTTATTACATTTATGAGTAAGCTCGGCTCATTTACACCCTTGGGGTAAATAATAAAGTAAGGAGTCTTTGATGGTTGATTCTACGACCAGGTAAATTAAATTGTATCTCACTTACTCTTTTACCATAGTTTTTTTTTCCTTTATTTTGTGATTCTATCTTTCCTTACTATATAGTATGGATACCTTTTTTTTGGTTTCACGTATAAAAATTAAATCAAAACCTATGCTAAATAATAAAAACATTTGCTTTCATTTTTGTGTAGGCCATAAAAATTAAATCACAATATTTTACTAGCATCATATTATATAGGATTTTTTTCCCACTCTTACACTTTTATCCTTACAAATGTTCATGTATATCATGTACCCAACTTGTGTCTATTAATAAAATTAGTTTAAAAGTTGCACATATATAGGTTCAGGTTATTTGGAGTTAATTTTATTGATAATGTGATATTTTGGTCATTTTTAATTTAATTTATTAACACTATTCGATATCCAATTACAATCTAAAAATTCGAACCAAATCCGATATAAATCCAATGGATAAGATTCGGTTCAAATCTAAGTATCGACTAATCAAATTCGGATCTGGATAGGATCAATTTGCAGTTGCAGCCTAGCTTCATTTATTAAATTCTATATATAGGATAGGGCACATTTGGCCATGTATCAGCTCCTCCACTTTAGCTTAATTTCTTGTAAGCTTTTTTCAAATGATTCATACAGAATAAAAAATGATTTAATCACTAATAATTTAATAATGAATATAACTTTAAATAAAAACAGATTGAAGAAACAGGATTCATGTAATCAACCTCATATAAGGCATAGATGATGATAATAATGATGACGTGCATGAATCAGAAAATTCTGAACATTAGAATCATCTTTTGGGGCCCAAAAGAAGAGGCCCACATGTTCCCTATTCACCCATTATTCCTACATGGGCATGTTGTCATGTTCCCACAAGCTAAGCCCATGCCATGTGTCCAATTGAAGCCCAATTCATGGCAACGCTCCCAATAGATGATAGTGAGGCCATGGGCCATAGCTGAAATGAAATGGAGGAGTGAACACAGAGCACATGGGCACTGGGCAGTAGAGAACAAAGATGAACTGAATCAATGCAATTATAGGAGGAGATGAGGACCAGCCTCAACTTAAACGGCCTAACCGAATTCCATCCGTGACTCTTTATGTCATGGCACACGGACATTGAGACCCAGTTTTTCCAATCTTGTGGACTCCGTTAACCGTTAGTCACTATCCAGGGGCGTCGATCACGGTTTCTCTTTCCTTCATTCTTTCCAACTGTTGCCTCTTGAGTCTTGATCACCTACTCGTTGCACTGGACATTTGGGCTCTTTTATTTATAATAATAATAATAGTCAGAATTTTGAAATTCTTATGTTTATAAATTATTCATTTTTTATGAGGAAAATTTTGAAGTATTATTAGAGTTGGATAAAATCAATTATTTATTTACATATACTAAAAATATTAATTAAATAATTAAAAAGAAAATTTCTTGTAAAATATTAAAACTAGAATATTTTTATTAGGGTCCAAGAGTTTGAATTTTGAGACAGCCGGAATTGCTGAAATTTAGAACCTTATCCCAGACGTCAATTTTGAGACCGCATATATACTTTCGGTTGAAAAAACGCAGGCTCTGTTTGGATTAATTTCTGTTTCTGAGGTTTGGGATGTGGAAAATTATTTTTCAAAGCAAAACTCAGGCCCTGTTTGGAAAAGTTTTAGCTTTCGATCTTTGGATGGTAGAAAACAGAAAATAAGCCAAAAAAGAAATGTTTTGAGCATTTGGTAATAGTTGGTTTTAAAAACATAAGAAAAAACTGAAAAGGAAACTCTTTTAAAATAAAATTTAGAACTTGATTAGGGTTCATGCTTTTTCCTTTTGGGTTTAAAAGCACAAATCTTGAAGCTCATCTAAACACAACACAACACTGATTGGGTTTTCATATTTATGAGCCTGTTTGGGAGGGATTCTGTTTTGGAGGTGAGTTAGGTTAATTGAACTGTGATCATTAAACACCAGTGTTCCGGATAAATTATTTGAAGTAACTTTAGCGGCTGTTTGGCATCGTTGTCGTTTCCTGGAGCAACGATGCCATATTAGCACCACATAGGAAAAAACGGTGCTCTAAGAAATGGTCATCTGTTTGGAACTGTTTTTTCATTGAAAATGGTGCTCCAAGCCATGTCTTGGAAATTTGAAGGCATGGCTTGGAGCAACGCCAAATTTGGTGTTTCTTGGAGCTGTAACTCGTTGCTGCCAACAAGGCAGTGATGTGGCACTGGATAATGGGTAGAAGTGCAAAAAACGTTTCTTGGAATATTGGTACCAAATAGAAAAAGTTACTATTGCTCAAAGAAACATCCTACTTAATAGCAACGATTCCAAATAAAAAAAAAAACAAAAATAATGCTTCCAACCCACACATCAACAATATTACAACTGCAACATCGATACCAAACATATACTTAATTTATAAAATTCACTTTAGCTATGTAAAAGTAGAAAATCATAGCCCACAAAAAAAATTACTCTATCTAATTCAAAGTGGAGTCATGGCAACAAATCAAATCAAAAGATTTGTTAAGGGTTGTAATTTATAGTCATGTTTATTGTGTTCGGAACATCAATATTGGTTTACTTATATAAATTTCATGCAGGGTCAATTCGGAATATCAATAATAATGGTGCTGCTGCGTGCTTACACCACTATAACCCTATTTTCTCCAATAATTATAAGAATCTATTTTATATTAATATTAAATAAATCAACTAACATATCAACGAACCTCTCAAAAGCCAACTGCATTGGCTTTTGCTTTCAAATAAAATGTATTTTATGCCATTATTATTCACTGCAACAAGTACATAATTAAGTCTTGTGACTTGGAGCGAGGTAAGTGGTAGACCCCACCAGCTGAGTAAGCTGCGATGCATGAGTAGGGTCCACCATTTATTCTTTCCTCTGGATATGTGGCTGGCAGTTAACACTCCTGACTATGCCGGGACCCACTCATTCGCTCGTCCTGCTACATTGGAGATTGCCTTGCCAACGCCAGAAACGTAGCCGCATAGAACAATTTTCAATCGTTCGATCATTCTTTCCTTTATCCGGCCCAAACCCCAAAGCTCCAAAGATGAAAGATGAAACCTTCCACTCCACAACCTCTCGTGGCGTAGGACGTGGAGTTTCCCTTTTCGTCTTGAATACTTCAAACTTCAAAACGGCAGGCCACTGGCTGCTCACATGTGACACCCGAGAAACAGACAAATTTGGTTTTATTTCACTGTTTTTGGTGGGTCCCCTCCATAGTTGACACGTGGACACCATGGGTTGTGGAGAAGAACGAAAGATTCCAATCGAACAGCCCTCACTTCGGATCCGAATCCATCACATCACGTCGCGTCTTGTTACACGGTTGAGATTGGCTTATCCAGATAAGAGTAAGATAGTCTTGACCGTAAGATGGACGACACATTCACACGGAAAGTCGCCGACACACGCGTTTTCTTTCCTGGTGTCGGTGATCAACGGCGACGGAATCACGGCTAAACCCGCAACTCGAGGCGCTTGTAGCCTTGTTGTATTGCGTGGACCTGAGTCAGCGTGCCGATCCAACTTCGAACGCGCCGCGCCGACAACCCGGTGTGGATGAGTTCGAACTTCGAATCGTCTATCCTACAAGGCTACAATGGTAGCACTTTGCCACGTGGCAATGTGCCTCTCCCCGTCCGCATGCTTTTCTCTAGAAAAGTCTCTGGCCACAGAAACATCTGACGGTTCTAACCTTTTGGCTTTTGCGCTTTCCACGTAGACTCACCTGCCTCGTTTTTCCATATCCACAGAAATATCCTCTTCCCTCCAAGTATCAGGATAAAAATATTCCCSATTCCCAAAATTACCATAATACCCCTGGGAAATGGGAATCCTCCGAGTTGTGCTCCAAGTTCCAAATCGCTGGAGTGGATATGGATGGCCCAGGCCAGAATGGCGGGATATTCTCTCACAGCCTCTCAGGATTGATTATAAGAAACATCAAAGAAAATATTCCAATTCTGCGGTTCGGATTCATCCTCTATCTACTGCCCAGCTAGGGGTATAGATGTAAATGAGCATTAGGATATGGATATTTTATTTTCAATTTCTGGATAAAAGGGCGAATTTGAGCAAACATAATTGAAGCAAAAATCCTGTGGCTGCACGTGGCGTTTCTGGTAGAATTCTACGTTTTTTCCGAAATGCCGCTGGCCTCCCTTGCTTCTTCTATATAAGGGTGGCTTTGCTTCACGGCTTGAACCACCGTGAGCAACCACCTGAAAAAAGAACGAAGCTTCCGATTTCAGTTAGAAGTAACCTTTCTGAGGTTCACACCTTCTTTATCCTACTTATTCTTCCCAGATTGCCTTAACGGGCTACAAACCCAGTTTGCTTTCTGATATTTTTCTTCCGAAAAGGCTTCTTTCCGCAGATTATTACCTGAATTTTGGTAGATTTTGAGGTCTCTTTGATCTTTGGTTCCTTGAAATATCTGTCTCTCATTACTGTCCATAGTTTTTCGACTTGGAAAAGTTTCCTTTTATTGTGAGTTGAGATTGAGATGGAGGTCTCAGTAGTTGGATGTTCTCAGGCGAAGATAGGAAAGACCGAGTTAGCTCCCCGGGAACTTGGGTTTTTTAGTTCCAAGCAGGTCTTCTCTAGAAAATTGGGGATTTCTTTTGATCCGGAGAAGAGATGGAGGAAATCTGGAATTCAAGTCAGTCTCAAGGCAACCCAACCGGAGGTCTCTCGATCGGAAAAAATTGCTGGAGACACAACAGCCATGGCTAGAGGATCCAAGCTTGTAAGTGTTCTGTTTTCTTCCTTTTTTTTTTTTTTCCTTTGGTGCTTCTCACAACTAAGTTCTCGAATTTGATTCGATTGATTTAGCTCTGTGAATCACCCTTCTTTTTTTTTTCCCCCTATAAAATCCCAAAACCTCCGCGTTTTCTATACTGATGATTCCTGTCTCTCGATTAACTGTACGAAACATGGTATTTTTGCACGTTACTCAGTGAGGGTTTAGTTAGACTGTTAATCTTTGTAATCTTTTAATTTCCCGATTCCCGCCGTCCAGAAGCCGTTCGACTGTGATTAGTAAACCTCTGAATTCTGAAATTGGCTTTTGTAGAGTGATTAGTAACCTCTGGATCATAACCAACCATTTGATTTGATCCGATCAGATCAAAGTCCTCATTTCTGCGTTATGTGTTTCATGTATCACAACTTATGAATCAAGATTTCCTGTTCAATTTCATGGTTTACAGTTCTGCCAGTCTTTGTATGTATACCAACCGTTTGATTTGTGTCTACAGGAAGAGGAGGGATTAAGCTTATTTGTTGGGCTTCCTCTGGATGTTGTCTCCGACGGCAAAACAGTCAACCATGTGAGAGCAGTTGGGGCAGGGCTGAAAGCTCTGAAGCTCTTGGGAGTGGATGGGGTTGAATTCCCAATCTGGTGGGGGGTAGTCGAGAAGGAAGGCCGGGGGAAGTACGAGTGGTCTAGCTACCTTGAACTTGCAGAGATGATCCGTGACGCAGGTCTCAAGATTCGGGTCTCCCTCAACTTCCATGCCTCCAAGCAAGCAAAGATCCCACTCCCTGACTGGGTGTCAAAGATTGGTGAAGCACAGCCGGACATTTTCTTCAACGACCGGTCAGGACGGCGGTTCAAGGAATGTTTGTCGTTGGCCGTCGATGAATTACCAGTCCTTGATGGGAAGACTCCAGTTCAAGTTTACAAGGAATTTTTGCAGAGCTTCAAGTTTTCATTCTCTGGTCTCATGGGCTCTACAATCGTGGTAAGCACTAAGCAACCAACCTTTAATTCTGAGCAACCCATCTTTATTTATTGGAACACTGGCTCTAATCCATGGCTGCTCTGTGATTTTCAGGATGTCTCGGTGAGTCTGGGTCCAGATGGTGAGCTCAGATACCCTTCCAGACCATCTGCAAAAGGTAACAAGCTTATGGGAGCAGGAGAATTCCAGTGTTATGACAAACACATGCTGAGCCATCTCAAACAACACGCTCAGGCGACCGGAAACCATTACTGGGGCCTCGCCGGTCCCCACGACGCCCCCAATTTTGATCAGTCACCCTTTTCCAACAACTTCTTCAGGGAAAGAGGAGGCTCATGGGAGACTCCATATGGAAATTTCTTCCTCACATGGTACTCAAACCAACTCATCTCCCATGGCAACCGCCTGCTCTCCCTCGCCTCCACCACATTCAGTGACTCTCCTGTGACTGTGTCTGCCAAAGTCCCCGTCTTGCATTCATGGTACAAGACCCGCTCCCACCCTGCCGAGCTGACGGCTGGTTTCTACAACTCTGCCAACAAAGATGGTTATGATGCCATAGCTGAGATGTTTGCAAAGAATTCATGCAGCATGATAGTGCCAGGGATGGACCTCTCTGATGCAAACCAACCAAAGGAATCGCTCTCCAGCCCTGAGTCATTGCTCTCTCAGATCAAGAAGGCATGCTTAAAGCATGGTGTACTGGTTTCTGGGGAGAATTCATCAGTTTCTGGAGTTCCTGGGGGATTAGAACAGATTATGAAGCATCTGTCAGGGGAGAATGCAGTGGTTGTTGATTCATTCACTTATCAGAGGATGGGAGCTTATTTCTTCTCACCAGAACATTTTCCTTCTTTCACAGTGTTCGTGAGGAACCTCAACCAACCCGAGTTACAGTCTGATGACCTACCCACAAGCGATGGAGAGGATTCTTTATCTTTGCCGAAGGCTTCTGAATCAGGGAAGAAGCTCCAGGCGCAACTCTCTTAGAAGAGATGAGAACATTGCTCATGTAAATACTAAATAGAGAACAATTAATTAAGATAGAGAATCAATATATTGATAGCAAGCATTGTATAGGAAGAGAGGACTTGGTAAACAAAAAAGCATGAGATATATTATTTATTAAAACGTGATTAATGATAATATTGTTAGGCATGAGATATATTATTTATTAGAACATGATTAATGATATTATTGTTGTTCTAATAAAAGTATCTTTCTCAACTTCAGAATCCAATTCATCAGAAATTTCAAATTTGGTGCCAAAACCATCTCAATATTTCATCTCTGGTTTTTGGTTCCTACTCGGTTAGGGAATTAGGCCAAAGTAGTCTAGCGGATGGGAATATCAAGTGAAGTATCAAGGTTTGAATTGACATTAGTGGGGTCCCAACAACCCTAGATTTGCAGAAGGCCTAACAGAGAGGAATTTTGGAAATATTCGGTCACCGGTGTGTGCATCTTAAAAACTTGAAAAGGAACTCCATTGTTAAAAGAGTCAAGATACAATGGTTCAAAGAGGGTGATTGAAACACCTGTTTCTTTCACCTCTCCACTGTTATAAGGTCAGATGGTTAATTCTCTTGCTAAAATAGAATATGTTCCTTGCTATAATAGAATATATTCTTTTAAATTATTAGTAAGTTTGCACATACTTTACACGTGATAATTCTAAATGATGATAATGATAATAATAATGTATTCAAAAATTTTTATAAATATGTATTTTTTATTTATTTTCTTTTTATTATTAATCGGATGCAAATTGCAAAATCCGAATCTGATTATATAAACATCTCATTCAAATATATGATGATAATTGACAGGCCTACTTACTTGGCTAGATTTTTTTTTGTATTTTTTTAATCTTTTTTATGTATCTTTTTTTTGTTCATTTATCAAAGAAATATAAAATTTAAATAAAGGAAATTGAATAAGGTAAAAAGTAGTAATTCAATTTATAATTTAAACTTCATAATTAAATAGGGACTAAATTCAAAAGTGAGTATTTTAGTCAAAAGAAAGTTCTATAATCTTACTCATATTTTTAATGGTAGTGTAAATATAAAATTATAGTTGTGTTCAATTTTTTCTATATATAAATGTATATATATATATTTTTTTCTAATATGTCACACTTGCTTCTTGTTTAATATGATAATTATATGATATTATACATTTGCCTAAATGTTCTTTTGCAAAATTTATGTATTTTTTATTTTATTAATTTTTATTATTTATTTATGGCATTAAATGTTAATGCATTTGACCCAAAAGTTGAACTATTGATTTTTGCCAAACAATAAAATAATTTCGTTTTTTGTCATTTCTAAATTATGTATTTAATTTTCATTATCAATAAAAACAACTCTTATTTATTGCACTTATTTTTTTAATTTGTTTAATAAAAATACCATAAATGTGTCTAATTTGTTCTACATTTTTATAATTTTCTATATTTATTTCTATTTTAAAATTTTTATTACCTAATTATGACTTCATTGGTTGATCAATTTGTTTCGGATGGTTGAATTAATTTCTTAGTCACCACTTTGATAAAGAATGATTTTGTTTTTGAGTCAGTGTTAAAATATACGGGTTTATATTGTTAAAAATATCAACATAGATCTAATTAGTAGCATTTATTAGTGAAAAATAACTTAAATATAGGATTTAATAAGAGAAATGTGAATTAATACCTTGAGTTATAAGACTTAATGAGAGGGGATTAAATGAGGTGGAAAGTAATAATTTAAGTTATATTTTCAACCCTTTCTCAAACAATGAAACATAGGGTAATTTTAGTCCAAAAAACTTTCGCTTTGCATCCACACTTTTATATAGTATAGATTTTGAGAAATTGTTTTCCATCTCTTGCTCAAACCTTGGTAATGGTATTACTAACTTAATTGTCCCTGTTATTTATGAGGAAATGAATAACGACCTCTGTGCACCTTTATCAGCWGATGAAATTTGCTTAGCAATCTTCTCCATTGACGGTCTCAAAGCATTGGGACCAGATAACTTCTCAACAATTTTCTTCCAAACTTTTTGGGAGACCATTAGTCCCGATTTAATTGCTACCATTCAGAATTGGTTCTCCAGTGCGATAGTTCCAACTTCAACTAATCTTATAGGGATCACCCTTATCCCTAGGTGCAAGGGCCCAACCGAGGTGGGCCAGTATTGCCCGATTAGTCTTACTAATGTCTCCTACTGGATTCTAAGTGTATGATCCTTAGGCTCCAAAGTTTGCTCCTCCACTTGGTGGATCAATCTCAATGTGCCTTTGTTAAAAATAGGTTTATCTCTAACAACATTAGAATAGCCCATTAAGCCTTCCATCCCTTAAACGGCCGAACGAAAGGGGGAATCTATTACATGGCCATTAAATTAGACCTCAACAAGGCATATGACCATCTTGAATGGTCTTTCATTTTAAATGTKCTTGAGCATATGGGGTTAAATGTGCACAGGAGGAAATTAATTCTGAGTTGTTTGAGCTTAGTCATGTACACCTTCAACATCAATGAGACTCAATAGGGTAGAATTCAACCTACAAGGAGATCCATTAGGGAGACCTTCTATCCCTTTATATCTTCATCTTCACTACTCATGCACTTTCAATGACTATCAAGAAGGCCATCTTAGAAGGAAGACTCCAATATATGAATCTCAAGCATAACGGCCCTGATGTCTCCCACCTATATATTTTATGCGGATGACTGCCTTTTATTCTTTAAGGAGGACATTCAAAATGTTGAGTACCTCAAGAAGATCGTAGCTAACTATGTAGAAGCATTAGGATAGTTGATAAAATATCAAAATTCATAGGTCACCTTCAACAAGAATACCCCTTGTAAAATTTGAAGGATTATCTCCAGAATTCTCGAGATTAAAGAGGGGCTGGGATCACCCAAATATCTAGGGCTGCCAAGAAGCTTTGGAAGAAATAAATCCACAATGTTAGCTGATATAGCAGAGAGAATTGATTCCAAACTACATGGTTGGAAACGGGCATTGCTGAATCATGCAGGTGGAGAAGTTTTAATCAAAGCAACTGCGATCCCTACTCCAATATATTTTATGAGTCATTTCAAAATTCTAGACAGACTTTGCACTACAATTAATGGAAAACTTGTTGGCTTTTATTGGGGGCATAAAAATATCAATAGAAAAAAAAATAATCAAGTTGGATAAGCTAGCGTCATCTCTGTTCAAACAAGAGTCAAGGAGGACTGGGATAATGGGATTTTAGGATCTAAAGAGTTTCAACTTGGTCCTCCTCGCAAAGGCTAGATAGCAACTTCTCAAGGATCCTAGTTCTCACTGGGGGTCTGTTCACAAAGGAGTTTATTTTCTAAGAGTCCCTTTGCTCACATCTCCTCTAGGTCGGCGTCCCTCCTGATCATGGAGAAGTATCTGCCATGGACTTTTGTTACTTAAGAGGGGTCTTATTTGGTGCATAGGAGACAATAACTCAGTTCATATTTGGGAGGATAATTGGATCCCAGGCTTACTGGACTACAAGTCTTTCACCCCCAAGCTTGCGGCTTATGATGTTCATTTGGTCAAGGAGCTAATCCTGGATAACCCAAAACGTTGGAACATTCATCTTTTGTGCACTATTTTTTCAGCCCTCGAGGTTTTGGCTATTTTCAAAATTCCCCTTAGTTTGAATGATATGGAGGATAAGTTGATTTGGAAGTTGACCAAGGATGACAGATATTCAGTGAAATCGAGGTATCACCTTGCAAGGTATATTTCCACTAACACCCTTCCTAGTAGCTCCCACCATTCCGGTAGCACCTCTCACGTTTCACGCAAAGTGTGGAGTAAATTATGGAAGCTTAAAGTCCTATCCAAGTTAAAGAACCTCATCTGGCAAGCCATTGCCATTGTAGTTAACCAGTTGTTGTTCTAGAGAAAAGTTATTTCATCTCCACTCTGCCCTCATTGTGAGGACTCTACTGAAGATGTTATGCACATATTATGTAAATGCCAGTTTTCTAGGGCTRTGTGGATGGCCAGTTGATTGACCATTCGATCGGGTGACGTTTCTCAAGAGTCTTTTGCRGAGTGGGTGGAGTCCATTGTTCAACCTTCCTGTTCGGAGTTCTCTTACGGAGGAGTGGTTCCAGACCTTCGTAAAAACATGCTAGGGAATTCAGAGAGCTCATAACTTATTGGTGTTCCAGAGATGAAGAATTTCTCCTACACAAGTGATAGAGTTAGGCTCCTCCCTCTAGTCGGAGTTGCATGGGTTAGCTTCTTTAAAACCCCGCCAGTCATCTTCAATCAGAATTTGACCCATCTTGGCTCCCCCCCCCCCAAAAGACTGGATCAAAATAAATTTAGGTGCTAATTTTGTGGCAAGAACATGCAGTGCTTCGGTGACCTGTGTTAATAGAGATTCCTTAAGTCGAATAATAAGAGGGAGCACCTTGTCCCTTCTATGCAATTCAGTTGAAGAGGCGGAAAGCCAAGCACTAAGACCAGCCTATATTGAGGTAGATCGAAGAGGGTTCTAGAAAGTTTGTTAGACAAGATGTAGATCAATTATAACAGAAAGCAATTGGTTGTCTAACGTGGCAAGAATCACATGGTTAAATTAACAAGCTAGCCATTTGTATCTATATAAACACATTTGAACCTTCAAATGAAGACACCTTTCTCTTGCATTTAATACCATTTTTACATGGTTTGGCTTTAAACCGCTTCCCCATGTTTTTGTTTCTTTCTTTCCACAGGTAGCAATCTGCAACAACCACCGCTAACGATGTCATAAACTTCTTCAACAAGAGGAACATCAATGGTTATCTCTGATGAATTGGATCCAAGGTCATTGTATTTTCTGCATCCCTTGGACAATCTAGGAGCTTTCTCTATTTCTTCTCCACTTAGGAGACAAATTCTTCACTTGGCAGAGAGCAATGAAAAATGCCCTCCAAACCATGAACAAATACAAGTTTGTTGATGGTTCAATTCCCCAACCACCAAACTCATCGTCAAATGAAGAATCTTGGATAAACTGCTATAGCATGGTGGTTTCCCTATCTCATTAACTCCATATCAAAGGATCTACAACAGAGCATTGCTTTCATTGAATCAACATATGAGATCTGGCAAAAACTAAAAGAAAGATTCTCAGATCGCAACATCCCTCGCATCTACCAGTTGAGGCATGATAGCCATGTTGCAACAGGGAGATCTTCCTGTTGTTG